TATATACTTAAATCTTAAATCACGTAGACATTGTGATATTTGAAAGCATGTATATTATGACTAATTTTCTTCTATATTCTTGCAGAAAGCTTCTGATAAAACCGAAAGGGAAGACATTTTATTGCTAGAAGGGTATTCCTGAATGTGTAAGAATAAACTATTTGATTTCTTGGAATAGGTAATCTCTGCCAGGAAAGGAGAGTTTGAAACTGGATTTGAAAAAGGAGGACAGACAAGAGAACATGCAATGTTGGCAAAGACAGCAGGTGTAAAACACTTAATTGTGCTCATTAATAAGATGGATGATCCCACAGTGAATTGGAGCAATGAGAGGTAAGCTTACATATCTTACTGGTTTTTTATAGACATGTTAGTAAAATAAAGGATGCTTTTGTTATTTTATGTTTTTCCCCTGTGGTTTTTCTAAACTTCATTTTTAAAAATTAAGCTAGAGTTCAGTTGCTTTATATTATAATTGGATTACTTATAAATGTTATAGATACGAAGAATGTAAAGAGAAACTAGTCCCATTTCTGAAAAAAGTTGGCTTCAATCCCAAAAAGGATATTCACTTTATGCCCTGCTCAGGACTGACTGGAGCAAATCTTAAAGAGCAATCAGATTTCTGTCCTTGGTACATGTAAGTAATTCTTTTTTTCCTTTAAAAGGGTTTATGTCTTAATAAGTAATTTAAGAAAATAATGAATGTAACTTTGGCTTTAAAAATACCAGGAACTTGGCCCATTTTTAACTGGGTTGTCTTTTTGTGATTGAGTTGTAAGACTTCTTTGTGCATTGGGTACCCCAAGTCTCTTATCAAATACGTGATGTGCAAATGTTTTCTCCCATTCTGTGGGAGATCTTTTCACCTTCTTGATGGCGTCCTTTGAAGCATAACAGGTTTTAATTTTTATTAAATCTAGGTTATTTTTTCTTTTGCCAATTGTACATTTGGTGTCATACATAGGAAAACTGCCTAATCCAGTTAGGAAGAGTTAGAACCCTATTATTGACATTTAGGTGTGCATTTCACTTTAGGCTACCTTTTTTATAAGGTGAACTCTTGATTATTATATAACTTTGTAAGTTTTCAAATTGGGAAGGGTGTCTTTGAATTTTGTTATTTCCCCAAGATTGTTTGGTTATCTGGGTTCCTTGAATTTCCATATAAACATTGGGATCAGCTTGACAATTTCTGCAAAAAAGGCAGCTGGGATTTCAACAGGATTGAATTGAATCTGTAGATCAGTTTGGAGAGCATTGCCGTCTTGACAGTATTTTGTGTCCTATAAAGTGTAGCTTTAAAGGGGAAATTATTTTACAGAATTTTCATTTCAGAGCTGGAAAAGTCCATAAAAATTAAGTAAAAGAGTGCAGTCATTTATTACAACATGTGGGCTATTTGCTATAAAATATTTTTCTAAATCTCAAGTGTTAATGGGGAGGTTTTTCATATTCAGCTATTTTCATATTATATTCAGCTATTTTATTTTTAATTTTCTGAGGAATAAATGAAATGAATTAAATAATGAATTGGATTAATGAGATGAGTACATGGGTAGAATGAAAACATGATTATAACCATTTTTTTGTATTAAGATACAGTCATGTAACTTAATATTTTGATATTTATGTTGACTCTCTTTAATGGATATTGTTATGTTCTCAGTGGATTACCATTTATTCCATATCTGGATAATTTGCCAAACTTCAATAGATCAGTTGATGGACCAATCAGGCTGCCAATTGTGGATAAATACAAGGTACCCAAAATGTTCAAGAAATTGGGTTTTATGGGAGGTGAAATAGTTGTTTTAAATTATGAAAAAACTTTAATAACAACATAGATGTCTCTTTTAATGGCTGCATATTATTTTGTGGTATAGACCACAATTTATTCAACCAACTTAAATTATTTCATCTGTTTCCCAATGAGCCAATTATCTTTTAGAGAGAAACTCATACAAGTGAAATTGCTAGACTCAAAAGGATTTGCACATTCAAGTTTATGCATATTGGCAAATAACCTTTCAGAATACTGTGCTAATTTATATTGCCAGCAGCAGTATATGAGTGCTAGTTTTACCACAACCTCACCTAACTGGATGTTCTACTTTAAAAAAAAAAAAGCATTATTTTTACTGCAATATCAGTGTAATGTTTTGCCCCTCCTCAAATACTTTATTCTTAAATCCTCACCTGAGGACTTACTTTTATTGATTTTAGAGAGAGGAAAAGGGAAGGGGAAGGAGGGAGGGGGAGGGAGGGAGAGAGAGAGAGAGAGAAATATCATTGTGAGAGTGAAATATTTATCAGTTGCCTCCTGCAGGTGCCCTGATGGGGGGCGAACCTGAAACCTGGGTATGTGCCCTGGCCAGGAATTGAGCTCTTGACTTTTGTGTACAGGACTATGCTCCAACCCACTGAGCCACTTTGGCTAGGGCTCCATACTAGATTTCTTGAACAAGTATTGCTTTTCTAATTTTATAAAGAAACAGGCTCAGAGATTGCAAGAACCTGAATTTGAACAAATAATTCAGATCTTCAAACAAAATTCTGTACCCTCTCCTGTACCATGCTTTCTTTTTAAATCTTAGGCATACTTATTTATTGGTACTAATAGTTGTTCACATGCTTATGAGCTAGGTGTTATAGATTATTTGTAATCTATCCTGTATTTAAGATTAATTCTAAGTATTATACCACTTGTTCTGATTTTTATTTTATGAGTAAGCCCTGCAAGATTTCACATGGGGTTGTTGAACTGTTGTAGAGTGGTAATAAATATTTGAAACTTTTTTTTAATTTTAAATTTCAACAGGATATGGGCACTGTGGTCCTGGGAAAGCTGGAATCAGGATCTATTAGTAAAGGCCAGCAGCTTGTGATGATGCCAAACAAGGTAAGAATTAATAATGTCCTTTCGCATTTAGCTTTTCTCTTGAAAATTTTAGCAAGAAGCCAGGACTTTTCAAAAGGTTAGGGATTTCCATGAAAATAAACTTAACTTTTAAAATCCAGGATTACATTTATTAATGTCAGGTATAAAACTTAAGAAAAAAATATGTGGCATTATTCACTGACAAATGGGGAGAGGCCAGTGTTAGCACAGTGGTAGAGCTAAAAGCTGTACCAAGAGAACTTTAGCTCTTTGATTTTACAAGATGGAAGAGATCTGGAGTGATTAAGTGACTTGCTTCCGTTAATACACTGGATTAGTAAGTGAGCCAAGGGTGGAAACTCAGGTTTAATCACAATACAGTTAGCTTTCTTTCTCTTTTTGTATGTGGTTACATTGGATACTATAACATATGTTTAAGCTATGTTCCTAATTTTAAGAGTAAAGTGTTTGTCTTTATCATAAACTAGAGGTCTAGTGCATGAAATTCGTGCATGGGTAGGGTGCCTAACGGCTGCCGGCTGCCAGCTCAGGCCTTCCTTTGTTCCGCGCCACCCCCTGGTGGTCAGCATACATCATAGCAAGCAAGCGATCCAACTCCTGAGGGGACACTTTGCATATTAGGCTTTTATATATATAGGTAGTTGTCTTGACTCTTTCCTACTTATTGTGATTTCTTCATCATTGGAGAGGGTTTTATTAAAATATGCAATATTTCTATGAATTATTCCTTTCTGTTATTTGTGACTGCTCACTTAGTGATATTTATAGATGACATGTTACTAAGAAAATTACCTATTTTCCAGAGAGGGCTTCTCTTAAAACTCTAAAAATGTTGTT